TTAAAAAAAAAAAAAAAAAAAAAAAGAATCAAATACGTGCTGAATTTTCATACAAGAACTTTACAGAAGGAAAACTAAGTGCTCGAGGTCTCTTACAAAGTTTGATGCTTATCAAGCATTCATATATTTTTGCAACTAAAACAGCTTGAATATTTCCCATTTGAAGATATGCATGTACACCAAAAAACGCCATTTAGATTGTGAAAAAAATACTTGATTAGAACTGAACTTACAATCCTGATTTGCTGTATTTGCTAGTACAATCAACAAATGAGTGAGAATGATTAGTAGGAATACTAGAATTCTTTCATCCATCTTTAAGGAAGACACAAAACTTTGCTACTCATACAACGCTCTAAAGCTGAATAAAAGGATCCTTTTTCGAAAGCATTTAGTGCCAATCTAGTGACCAACCCACCATTTTATCACACCAATGGAGAAAAGGTCAACAACATTATACTTCCTCCTTTTACCCAGTGTTGGTCTCATCTAGTTAAAAATTAAATGGATAAACAACTTGAATACAACTGCTACTTGGTAATTCAATTAAAAACAACCACTGGCAAACAATGATGGCACGTTCATTCATCATTTGAGCAAATGACTAACAGGATTAACAAATACAAAGTCAAACAAACACACCATATAAAAATCATGCAAATTTAACAAAAATGAAGCTAGCTGACCATGTACCATAAAATAAAATTATGTTGCCAAGTACAAGAAATGTTCCATGAAGCAGAAAGGTTTTAAATTACGGCAATAAGGCATAAGAAAATAGTTATGAATGGTCACTAATGTATATTTGACTTTACCAGGTTTTGAATGTTTCTGTGCCAACCTAACTCTCTGTCTTCTTAATCCTGCAGACAAAGTTATATGTCACTATCTGGCCACAACATGTAACGAAGATATCTACTTCTCACGTAGTTGACTTTGCCCTTTCTCTCAGCCGAAAACTAGGATATAACAAAAAGTAGGGCTACTTAACTAAACAACAACATTGACTTAAACTTTTGTTAACGTGAAGATAAAGTAACTAAACTAAATTTAAAAAGAAACAATAAGAAACCTGAATATAAAAGGGAAGGGGGGGGGGTGGACATCTGATTGGTTCTTTACATTGATTGATAGGTGACTTGCAACAAACTACAAAGAAGTATTCTACATTTTGATGTATTGGAGAAGAAATGTTGGATTGGTCGTGTAAATAAAGACAGAACTTTGTTATTTCCACTAACTTTCCAAAAGATTTATGTAAGAGCAATAAACCATGCGAATGTGTAGATCAACTATCGTGAGTTATTTCTGTTTTAATCAATGGAATTTGAATTCTAAGATAAAGAGAGTTTTGTGACCGATATGTTCGTCTATTGAGAAAATAAGATATGTACTATAGTGTAATTCATCCAATCACAAATAAGATAGTATACGATAATGTTAATTTTTATAATAATTATGCATTAGTTAACAAAGTGCATAATGATTAAATTCATGTTGATTTTCTTATTCATGCCAATGGTATTTCAAATGGGATTAGACTATAAAGAGGTTAAACTGGTTTTCTATATAATTTGAAGTACTAATTGATTCACACAACTACCACAATGAACCCTTCATCTAACGCTCCACATCAATTCTTCTTTTATGTCCAATTTTGAGGCAAAAGAATGCGTCCAATTTCGTATAAACGAAACAAGTCAACCCAGCTAAGGCACATTGCTCAACTCCATAGCATTCCCTGAATTTTGGATTATTATTGAAACATACATGACATCCTATTAAATAAGTGTGTTTTGTAGTCAAGCTAGAATTAAAAATAGGATAAACATTAATCATACTAGATGTTAAGTGCACACCATGATAACAAAATAAATAATATTATTATATTATATATATTATGTATTTTATATATACCATGATAAAAAAAATGTTTCATTAAAATTACGTATAAAATTTTCAAAATTTGATTGTTGGTTCAGAGAGGAGTGAGACTCATTCCATATACCTTTATTTTTCAGATCTAGATGAATGATCTTCTGCAAACAAGCAGGATAGAATGGAAAAGCTATTACAAAGTGTTGTCAACACGAGTGGATGTTTCAAGAGACAGAAAAGGATCTTTCTAAAATGCTTCATGGATCAATTCGGTATTTTAGATTCTTAATGAGTCGGTGCTTTGAGTCTTGTCTTTTTCTTGTATATAAAAAGAGGGTAGATTAAGTTTTAATATTATGATGCATCAATTCTTTATATGTGACTCAAATGTAATGTATCTAATTCTAAGAATGTAAATGTATAAGTATGTCATTTGTATTAAAACATTATAATGATGTACCAGGGGATGTTTCTAATTAAAGTCTAGTGAAATGTGTTGGATTTTTTTACTATTTCATCAAAAGGTATTTTAAGAAGATGATAAGTTATTATCAATAATCTTCATTAGGAATTTTAAGTAATAACATTTTGAAAGAAAAACAAGTTTCATCGTATTTTAAAGGTTATTTCAATAATTAAGTATTAAATTATTTTGCAAATTTCAAAATTAATAAGGAAATTTTTAATAGAAAAAAGTGTTAGATGTGCTGCCACTCATATAAGTATATCTATTTTATTTGAAGTATTATTTGCTCTCAATTTATTATATTTCCCTTGTAATTACATCATTGTGCCATTATGTGACTTTTATGATTGAGTTAAATTTAAATTTCTTTTTTCATACATGTATTAAACAAGACTAAAGATTACAAAATGACCCAAACAACATTAGCAATAAAATACACTAATATTCCAAACAATGTTAACAATTAATTTTTTTTATCAATACACTAATAATTATTTAAATTACATAATAAAAATTAATAAATTTAAAGTCAAGAGATTACCTTGTAGAAATAACACAAATAAGGTAAGTCAGTATATTATAAATAACACTAATCATATTATGTCCATTAAATTTAATTTTATCATTTATCTTATATTAAATATGTTTTTAATTTATGTAAAATAAGATAGTTTTGATTTTAGTATATATATATATATATATATATATATATATATATATATTC